TGATCAAAAGCTTAAGAGATGGATCTGAATCTCCCAGATATTGCCCAGAACTGCAGGGAAGAGCAGGGATATTCAACGGTGCACTTCCTGGAGACAAAAACTTCTATCTGCCAAATTTCCTCCCTGACACTCAGGGAGTCTCACACTATAAAGTGATCGCTTTTACAACTCCAGGTCACAGACTTCTTCACTCGAGCAGGGTGAAAAGGAGAGTCCATTTGCACCATATTTCCTTTTCTTTCTAGTTTTGATCTGACGTTAAAAACCAAACCAACCACACTTCAATTTGTAAAGTGATATAAGGGTTGATTTAAGATGCTATACTCTGATCTTTTTTGGAGTTGGAAAGGAATTTTCCTCCTTGCAATGCCAAGTTAGCAAAGGTTGATCATTGGCTTATCTTAGATAAGCAGTTCAGTTCACAGATTTGGAACATGGAAATTTGTAGCCGTTTGTTAGTAAATTATTAACTTTAAAGGACATTTAGTACAGTGAATATCAACCTCCTTAAAATAAATAAATAAATTAAAAAAAAAGGTAGTGAGGATACAGATCACTGGACAGGGAATTTAAGCCTATTAATTGTGAGCTTTATGTTGTTGCTTTTTTTAATTCCTATTTTGTGTTACTTCCCAGTACCCATATGGACCACCGGTTTGATAAATTACTAGTCTGGTTTAGCTCACTGGTGTTTGGGGCTAATGATCAGAACAGACGAAAGGTCAGCTTCAAAAGTCTTGTTTATAAGGCTGAGACTTTGCTGGTAGAAAGAGGTAGACTGAGTTCTCCTTGGTTTGTTGCTCTCACAGGAAGAATACTGAAGAGAGCTGAACTGAGAAAGGACAGAGTATGAGATACAGACTTCACAGTGCCACAGAGCCCTCTAACCAGTAGCACTGATCTTCTGCAAATAACTGGTGGAATAGACAGAGAAAATTAGGTAATAGGCCCCTCCCTCACCACTAAATTAATAAAGTTGAAACCTGGTTCTTAAGTCCACTTTTGGGAATTCTTTAGGCACTGGCATTACATGACCAGCGTTGGAAACATTCATACCAGGAGTTCAGGCTCTTGTGCCAATTATAATACATTAACTCAAAAAGGAAAGTTAATTTTATCCACTACAAGTTTATACGGCCACATACATTGTGTCTACCTACAGTAAGAGATATAATTATTCAGACTCCATTCCTTATATACCTAGAAACAAAAAATCCTTACTATACTAACTAAGTATTCCATACTTAGTTGAATCATCCAAAAGTCTTCAAGTTAGTCCATCTTAATAAAATTCACATGATGCTTGCAGATCTAAAGCTTCTGCTTCAAAACATAACGGAGCCAAATACTTTAATACATTAATTGATATACCTTCAGCCTTGTCATCTCCTCTCTCTTTAGACTATTACTTTTCAGTGGAGTTACACTAGCGTAAAATCAACATAGAGGTGGAGTAATAAGATCTGGTAAAGTGGAAAGAAACCTTTAACATCAAAAAGTTCTAAATACACTTTTCAGAAAAACCTATGAAAAAAATTTTCAGAAAACTACTGAAAGGAGCTCATCTAAAATCTATGCCTCCAAATACCCTCAAAGGTCATCTAGTCTGTCCATCAGCCACAAAATAAACTACATCTATATCAGTTTAGACAGTTTTTGTCTAACCTGTTTTTAAAAGGCCCACAATGATGAAGCTCCACACTTTCCACATAATGCATCCCAAATTTTTTTTTTTTCCTTTCCCCTCAGGATTCCCCTTCCTAACATTTAATCGCATTTTTCCTTCTGCAATTTAAATACTCCACTACTCTTCATGGAGAGAGAATTTCATTTTCCCCCTTACTGGATATGCCTTTATTTTTACTGAAGGCTTGCATTCCACCTCTCTTTATGGTAACAAACTGCAAATCTTTCCTCAGAGAAGAAATGCTTTAGACCTTTTATCCATCTCTGTTTTCCTCTTGGCTTCCACCTTTCTATATCTTTCTGGAACTGCACTGCCCATAACTGAATGCCAGGCACCAACCTGAAATCTAAGTACATCATAAGGATTTGAGAGGAATTATCTTTTCTGTTAAATCAGTTCTTCAGTAGAAATTAATAGATTAAATAACATTTTCCACTTGTTTGAATAACTCACCAAATACTTCATTATCCTCTGAAGACTGCTGCGTTAGTCTGGCTGCTTTTGGACTCTCTTTAGCTGCTGCTTCTTCCACCTTGGTTTCAGCATTCTGTAATAACAAACATTTCTTTAGATTAGGTCCATCTTTTTTGATTCATCAATCCAAAACATTCTTCAAACTTCTTAACTAAGGAAGGAGTCCAATGTAATTTGATCCTTTGTTTCTCTTTTTTTCTACTTTCCAGTAATTTGTTTGTAAGTCCATATCTATACATTTTCTCTGCTGCATCATTATGGAACTTTTCACTAATAACTTCCTCACACCTCTACTTCATTTTAATTTAAATAAAAATCCTTCCCCTTGCTAAGCACGGCTATATCCTAAGTAATTCTCCTCTCATTCCAAAACTTAACTTTTTTCTTCTTGTCATGAATTTAAGCTTGTAAAATCCTTGAGGCATTCTTTTTCCAAATAGGATGAGCTTCTTCTGCACACTCTAAGGTAGTACTGCTATGCAAACGATGATGCTGGTATTAATATAATTATGATATGACTGTAATATGTAAAATTATATGCTGTTGCCTCAACCTCTCAAATACTGTATTTTCTTCCATGATGAAAAAGGTTAAATTCTTTCATACATGGGCCATGAAAAATAAATAGATGAGACTGGCGTTGGGATACTAACAAAAGTAACGCAAGAAAAGAGTGAATAACTCAGACACGGGGGCAAAATAAGTATATGTAAAAAATCTAAGGTATAGACAAGATACGTCCCTTGGACATCTTGCTTAAGTGTTTGTCTAGCAAGTTTATTTTTCTCGTCCATTCATTAAGCTCAACGGAGAGAAAACTAAAGCGAAATTCTGATCAGTCTGATGCCAGTGGCAACATTCTCACCAACTTCATCAAGTTCCCCATGTGCCTGCCCAACACCAAAGACCTAGGCCCTTCAAAAAACATTGTAATCAGGGAAGACCAAATCCAACCTATTTTTAATTGGATTTTGTTGTTGCTGTTTTTTAAACCACAGTGGAACTGGTATTTCTGAACGCTTCAGAAAAATCTCAAGTAATATTCATTTAGCAAAGCTGAATTAAACTTTTGACATGCGAACTTGTTTTAAGATTGCCACTTGGGATCGGTTTGGATAGAAAGCGATAGAAAGTTCTGCAATACAAGCTTTCCACACATTCAGCAGATCCTTACTGCTGTGTCTCACTGAGTCTCAACTCATAACAACGAGTATAAAAGAGAGCAGTTTACAATTTACACTTTTGTTTAACCCACATTACCATCCTTTACATTTAAACTGTATTACAACAGCATTAGAACACAAAAGAGGCAGGTAAGGGACACCTAAACTAGCTAGAATAATAGTGAGATCTTAAAAAAACAAACAAACAAAAAAAAAAAACCAGGACAGACTTCTAAGTTGCCACCTTTCCTTCCCATATTTAATGTTCCTTCCTTTTTCTCTTTTCTTTCTATTGATATTTTCCGTTGTTGACTGAGTAAACAAAGAGATGAGAAGACAGCACACAAATATTTCTCCTTACTGGGTATAGGTAAGAGAGCTAGAGACAGCTGCTGTTCCTCAGAAGCAGCCTTCTTAAAATCTTTAAGGTTAACACTTTGTACTTGCCCTCTGAAGTACAACTTAGCTATGTTCTGTAACTTAAATCTCTAGGCCCAGTGTTAACAGCTTCAGGATTTGAATTGCCAGAATCCAAAGCGTTCATCCCCTAGCTAGGACTGTCTGAGGAAAACCTAACCTGTAAAGCACAGATTTTTAAATAAACTGCTGCTACACAGTCTTTCTACAGAAATTAACAGTTCTGCTCTCAGAACCGTAGCACATTTCCAAACTGTAAATGATCTCTTATTTCTCCTTGTTAACAGCCGCACAGAAGATGCAAGAAAGCAGTTTGACCAAGTTTGTCAACCTCCCTATAGAATACAGGAGTTAATCTTTGCGCATATCAGCTCAAGATTCAAAGCAAGACAGGAAGCTTTGAAAAGAAAAAAAAATGAAAGTAAAACCTACAAAGCCTACTGGTGCCATGCAGGAGCAGAAGGAATTAGAAAAAGCAGAGAGAACAGCAAAGGTGGGAAACTCCTTCAGAGGACAAAGCAAATACAGAAGAGAAAGTATTCTGCGTTCCCTCAAGGCACCAAACTGAACATCATATGCAGAAAATCCATCCACTATGAAACACCCAAAGCTGAGGAGAGAGTCAGTTTTAGCAGACGCTCACCTCAGTTTGTGTTAACTACTGTCCCTCAGGACGATAGAAGAACCCATTCAAAAACAGCAGTGGCTGTACTGGGAGACAAGCGCTTCAGATAAACAACTTCATTAGCAGTGCAGATACTTCAGGTTGAGTCCTCTTTCCACAGGTATCTTTTGTTAATTGTGAAGCCATCAAGTTTGCCTCGTGTTAGGTGCTGTCCATGCACACTCAAGGCACATGCCAAGCGCTCTTGCAAGTAGAGGCCGCTGAGTCAGTAAGCTGCATATTAAAGTTAGGATCTCCATTCTTTTTTAGTTTGCACTACAGTGAAAGCCAACTCAATTAACTCTAGTTTGAAAGAAGAGAGAGAGAACAGCCTTCTATTCTGAAATAAGCAAAACAGGTCATCTGCTGCAGGAAAGTGAGACAATTCCAAGGCAAAATGCCACAAAAAACTATGGCACCATGGAAGAGAGAAATTCATGCCGTTAAGATGATCATGGCTTCATATCGTTAGATGTTCGGGGCTTTCCATAATGAAGGAGACAGTTCCTCATCAGAGCTATTATTCTAGGTTGCGTAAATTTAGTGCTTGGTAGCTCCATTTTCAGAGGGGTTCCACAGTATTTAGCGTATTGTAAAGCTGATGGTGCAGGAGAGAGATTGCTATTCCCTATCAATATGTGTTCTTATTACACTCCGGAAATGGCTCCAAGAATCTGTAATCTGCTGCTGCAAGAGCAGTAGTAAAAAACTGCTATACAACAGATATTCAATGGTACACGTGACATGAGTTGTCACTTCAAGTCCTTAATTAGGGTGATGTCTGCATTCCATTACTTTAAAAGTTGGATTTTCCAGTCTCAAGGGAAATTAGAAAGAATGAGCCCTGTGGTGTTTTGGTCTGAGTTAAAACACTGAGGAAGACTACACAGTAGTTGTGCTATCTGCTCCCTGGATAAGCCACAATGTTGGTATGGATGGATAGCAGCTCTGAGATGCTGGCAGGAAAGCTGTGTGAGAATGTAAGTTTTAAGCATGATAACATATAGTTGGATGTAAACCTACTTGGCATGGCTTCTTACACAAAAAATAGATTTTAAAAAGGTTTCTTTTGCCTTTGAATTTACACTAAAAATGTTACCTATCACTTTATTACTGACATATCTAATATTTATACCAACAAACAGAATACAAGAAAAATCACTGCAAAGAACAATGTAATGATCCAGATGCTTTAAAAATAATTTCTATTAAAAAGCAGCATTTTAAAAGTCAGGATTTAGCCCATTGTTTAATTCTTTTTGCAGCATCCTAAAATAAAAATGCCTTTTAATCCTTCCAACCAATGAACAAAAAAAGTGAAAATATATTTCCTTACACCGTCTGAGCTGTGCCAAGAGATATTCTTTATCCACAGTTATAAAGTGCTTGTGATTCTTAATAAAATGAAGGTCCTTTGAGCATATCATCTTAAATGTAATTCCATCCAGCTTTGATTTTCTGGTTAAGCAACCTATGTAGTCTCAGCGGTGAGGGACAAAAAAGATTTATTTTTTCAGTATCAGTTTCCAAGAACTATACACTGCATTTGATTTTAGTATGATATCAAAGTTATATAGACCTAAATGCATAGAAAGTATCTCTGCCACAAAGCACCTCCTTGAACACCACTAAAATAGCTTCAAAACTGGAATTAAAGTGAAGTTTCCAAAGGATAAGAATTCCAAATACGCTTACTTATCTGAACTAACACCTCAGACCTGCACTTCAAAGAAAGCGAAGAGCACATGCTCTGCTCTGCTGGTGACACCAAAAGGGAACCCACCTGGTGCAAAGATCATTCACATCAGAAATGCAATTCTGTTGTGCTTTGGTAATCAGGCCACTCCTGTTCCAAAATGCCATAAACAACTTAAGTAACGTATCATAATAGGTGGTAGACCTATTCAGCTAGAGCTTGCAGTCTAAAAATACTGGAATCATTTTCTATTATAAAGCAGCTATAAAATAAGAAGTGCATATATATACACTGCAGCTGTATATATGTGCATATGTATATACACAGCTGCTCTTGACTCATCACTGATAAAAACAAAAACTGCATTATAATCTACCACAGTTTTACAAGACACTATTGGACCAGTTTCCTGTTGAAGCAACTATTTCCTTAGGACTTAGTTTACCCATTTTCCATTATATTCCTATTCCATTATGCACTAAGTGAACACCACAATCTCCATGTTACACAACATATTCTGTTCTATTCATGTTCATCGGTGCCCATGTACAGAATCTTTACCTCAAAGGGAAATATTAAGAAATGCAGAGCTATAAAGAGTAGTATTCTGCAGACACTATAATAACGGGTCAGGTTAGAAACTGCAGTGAAGCATATTACATTTACCGAAGCTTACTTCCTCAAGACGACATGCAGATTTGGAAATGAAAAGTTGTAATCTGGAGTATCCAAGCTAACTTTTTACCTACGTTGCTATATTTGCATTCTTGTTAGGAGGATGATGTTTCCTCTCTTTTAACCATAGAACTAATAACTTGATTTTACAAAGGAAAAAAAAAGTCAAAAAAAGTCAGAAATCCAATTCAAAGCAACAGTTTTGTATTGTTTGTGCTCTCGTTCCCATTATTTACAGTTTAGCAGCATTTTCATTTTTTGTTTACATATTTAGATAGTTCATTTAGCTGTTGCTCCATCCCAATATCCTTAAATTTCCCTTTATCTTCAGAAAGGTACCACGTTGACATTGAAAGTTCTAACTGTGACAAAGCATCACATGCTACAAAAACATGAACTATTGCTTTGGCAGGATTTATCCACTTCCTTCTTTCATTCATTC